CAAAAACTGTTTTCTAGGCTCTGTACGGAAGGCAGTACTCAGATCAAAAAACAAGAAGGGCTGTATATACTGGATAAGTTTCTGAAGCATTTGCTTGTTTTTTTGGTATGTTTCGACCCACCTCGAAAAAGATATCAATTTGATATCTTTTGCCAGCAAACACGAAGCACACGAAGCAAACACGAACATTGCAATAAGAGAACAAAAAACCAAATGAAATATTTTAATAATGAAGACAAATAGAATCTAATTAATGCAGTATTATATAAAGGACAATTATATGGATATTATAATAAAATATTTTTATTAATTTTCATAAATATAAAACAAATATTGCTTTCAAAAGAGTTTGTCTTCACGGTGGTCGGCACGGGTGGCGTCGCCATCTGCTGCTGCTGATAGCACTAGTCAACACGATTTTTCCTCAAGGAACAAAACGAACTTTTTTTTAAAGATTTGTTTTGTTTTTTCACATAGTTGTAAAGAACTTTGCTATTTTGAAAAGATAATTAAAACAGATAGAAGTTAAGCCCAATTACTTTGTGATTACAGCTTACCGTCTGGGAAATATAAAGCATTGAAATGCAAAAATTATGATTTATGTGCGGTATTTTTTACGAAATTTTGACTTTAAAAACTCAGGAAAAGTCGAAAAAAAATTATATCCTGTGTCCTCTATTTTTTTGTGTATAGGTGCATTAATTTGGCGTCGTTCAAGGTATCGCTCATTGAAATCTATGCAGAGACTTTGGAGCTAAAATTCGTTAACTAAACCTAAAATATGGAAAAAATGAACAAAAAATACCTTTTCGATGGTTGCGGGCCCAACTGCCAATTGGGAACAAAGCAAACGAAAAAGGGTTGTACATTTGGTACCTGATCGCCTTCCCCTGACAATGGCACGCTACTCATTCTCTTTCTCGCTCGCACACTCTGCCTCGTTCAGTGAGCTTTTTTCAGAGGTAGCGCTTCTTTTTCTTTTTTTGTATCTTACGTCTGGTTGTAAAGAACTTTGTTATTTTGAAAAGATAATTAAATCAGCTAGAAGTTACGCCGAAACACTTTGTGAATTCAGCTTAACGTCTGGGAAATATAAAGCATTGAAATGCAAAAATTATGATTTTTGTGCGGTATTTTTTACGAAATTTTGACTATAAAAACTAAGGTAAAGTCGAAAAAAAATTATATCCTATGTCTTGTTTGTCATTTTTTAGTATAGGTGCATTAATTAGGGGTCGTTTAAGGTACTGCTCATTAAAATCTATGAAGAAACGTTCGAGCTAAAATTCGTTAACCAAACCTAAAAAATTAACAAAAGATACCTTTTGGAAGGTTGCGGGCCCAACTGCCAATTGGGAACAAAGCAAACGAAAAGGGGTTAAATTTTTAGTAACAAAAAGTCTAGGTCGGATTTATAACTGCATTTATCAGCTTTTCAGGACAGTAAAGTGCTTAGCAACCAGATATATGATACTTAATGTTGAGCTACTGAGCTTCTTCAGTAGCGTTGTTTTGCAAGATTATTTAAAAGTCGACGATTGTTCAGTTAATATATTCACAGTTTATTTACTTAAGTTAATATATATGTATTATCCAAAACTAGCGAAAGGTGTGCGGATTTGATAACGAGAGTTAACGATGGGTCGATTGAAGACGCGCGGGCCATTTCAAGACTGTTGAAGTTGATATGTTTATGTTAGGTTTAGTTTAGAACTCTGTAGCAGGCAGGTCACTGTGCCAGACAGCCAAACGTTTAACTATGGTGATGATCGAAATTTAAGTGACTTCTGCCTTTTCTGATGAGCCTCCCCCACAGCTGCTGACGAAAGCCGAGAAAGAGCAAGGCACCAGCAAGAGCATAAGTACAAGCAACCAAACGGTTATAAAGAGAGACATTACATTAAGAGATGCTCAACTACTCTATGTGCTGCCATGGGCCTGCGCTTAGCCGAACACTTAAGTTAAGTGAAAAAATAGAAGCATCTCTAAAAAACATGAAAAAAATACCAGATTTTATAAATTCTTAAAAAAAAAACTAAACCATAAAAAATCGATCAGAAAAGGTCATTTTGGTCTACAGCGGGAAGAAAAATGTTCAATTTTGTCGGGTAGTGTAATCATTATTTTTAAGTTGAATTTTTTTGTATCAAAAATAATGATTATGTAAAGTTTATTAAATTACTGGAAACTAATGATTACACAATCGAACGAGAAGGAACGTGTGAGTGGCTTCTGGGGACGCGACTCTACTTATACCCGTACTCAGTCAGTTATACATTTTTGAGCTTATGATTTTTTAGAATTTTAGAAAAAAAAAAAATTTTACATTTTACATTTTTTTGCTACATCTGATATCTACATCTACAATGTATATTCTACATCTAACATGTAGATTGTACAATGTACATGTTCCATTTAGATTCTACATCTCCTCCGCTAGGGGTTGCTCGCGCACCGAACGCGGCAGAGTGTGCGAGCGAGAAGGAGAATGACTTGCGTAGTCGTTTGCCGGAGGGGGACAGGGGAAGCAACTGAAAATTAATTTCTTCATTTTGGCTATAATTATGATCCGATCTGATTTAGATTCGGCAATCTGGTAGATATGGGCATTCTCTACGATACTGCGTTTTTAGTTTTATCGTATCTTTAAAAATGTGTCTGCCACAGATTTTCGTCTTTTGTGGGGGCGGAAGGGGGCGGGGCGAAATTTTGAAATACACTTGTAGCAGTGTGATATCACATGAGTGTGGAAACCAAATTTGGTTGCCCTAGCTCTTATAGTCTCTGAGATCTAGGCGCTCAACAAGACGGACAGACAGACAGACAGACAGACGGACAGACGGACAGACAGACATGGCTCTTTCGACTCGGCTATTGATGCTGATCAAGAATATACATACTTTATGGGGTCGGAAACGTTTCCTTCTCTGCGTTGCACACATCCAATTTTCCCACAAATCTAATATACCCCTTAACTCTTTTTTGAGTACGGGTATAAAAAGGTTTTTGTTGATTGAGATTATGAAATAACATGAAAACGGTTTACCCTATTCAGTTAAAACGAAAAGGAACGTGTGAGTCGCTTCTGGGGACGCGAATCTACTTATACCCGTACTTAGTCAGTATATATATTTTTGAGCTTATGATTTTTAGAAATTTTAATTTAATTTTTTTTTTTCTACATCTGTTATCTACATCTACTATGTATATTCTACATCTAAAATGTAAATTATACATGTACCATTAAGATTCTACATCTCCTCCGCTAGAGGGCGCTCGCGTACATAACGATGCAGAGTGTGCGATCGAGAAAGAGAATGAGTAGCTGGTCTCTTGCTGTAGGAGGCGGGGAAGCTACAGAAAATTAATTTCTTCATTCTGCCTATAAATATGATCCGATCTGATTCTGCATTCTGGTAGATATGGTCATTCTGCATTTTTAGTTTTATCGTATCTTTAAAATTGTGCCTGCCACAATTGTCCTTTGGGGGGGCGGAGCAAATTTTGAAATACACTTGTAACAGTGTGATATCACATGAGTCTGGAAACCAAATTTGGTTGCCCTAGCTCTTATAGTCTCTGAGATCCAGGCGACAAACAAGACGGACAGACGGTCAGACGGACAGACAGACATGGCTCTATCGACTCGGCTTTTGATGTTGATCAAGAATATATATACTATATGGGGTCGGAAACGTTTCCTTCTCTGCGTTACATACATCCACTTTTACCACAAATCTAATATAGCCCTTAACTCTTTTTGAGTACGGGTATAAAAAGTGTGCAAATTGTGACATTTTATTCAAAGGCACACCAGATTATGTTTACATTTTGTATGTGCAAAAATGAAACTTTGAAATTAAATTTAAAAAGAACCATGTCCGACAGCCTAATTTTACTCACAGTTGTCATAAGAGGGGGAACAAAATAGAGAGAGAGAGAAAGAGAGCAACCACGACCGTTAGTTGTTTTTTAGTGTTTATTCTTGAACTTCGTTTATCCTCTCATGAATTATTCGAATTTTTTTTGAATATTTTATCTTTTTCCATTTTTCCACAACTGTATTTTTATTCTGCCACGTCTGTTTCTATTTCTCTCCTCTAACACCAACAACAGCCTGTTTGAATTAGTAAGCACATGGAAGGGGTAGCATAGCCACTGCAATTTTATTTTTTTATTTTGGGGTTATAAATGTTCCAATCTGATCTAGATTCGGCAATCTTGTAGATATGGTCATCATGGTTCGTCACAAAGGGGTAGGTACATGCGCGGCTGATCGACGGAACGGCGCTGGCCAAGAATATGTAACCAACCACCACCGCAGAAACCAAAAACTCAGCTAACGCTCGAGTCAGTCAGCAGACTCTAATATTTGATATTGGACACTGACTGAAGGGCCAATTATTAGGTAACACGATCTTACCAATCAACAAGTCGGCACGCTCGGGTAATAATCAAAACAATATTTATATAATCCCCCTTCCACCATTCCCATTAGGAATAAGACATCGTTTTTTGACATTGATGGAAAATCGATGGCCGGCCGATCCATAAAAGGCACTGCCTTGCAGTCGATCAAGATACCAGTACTACGTGACTCAAACAACCGCGAAAGTATACGCAGTGCCGATCCTATGAGTGCCGTTTAAACAGTGACACAGTGCCAGAACCAACAGAAAGAAAATCACCATGGAATATCATGGCGAGGAACAACCAGACGAGGCATACCCTGCGGGGAGCTTTTCCAATCCAGGGATCAGCACCGGCTGGATTCACAAACTCCGTCGAGACGAGCTAGAAGTCCTCGCCGAAGAATTTGTACTTGGTAACGAAGGAACGGTCGATGAACGACGAAATAAATTTGCCGCATTAGTCGCCAGGCCTCTCGCGCAAGACGCCTGGGTTTAGTTAGTTAGCAAAGTCTAATGCCATACGGACATAAAAACATATTTATGTTTTAACAAAAAGATAATTAGTATGTAAATAAAAAATATTTTTACCTTGCGATTAATTCTGTCAACTTGTCGATTTTGATTTTCTAGCTCAGAGCCCATATCCAGAGCCATGTTACGGAGGTTTCCAATCATTGTATTAACCTGTCCCATATTTTCTTCCATTTCATCCTCCCTCGCATCATTTGTAATTCTAAAAATAAGGGAAATAGTTAATATGGGTTTCTGAATTATTTTGCAATTTTCAGTAAATATTGCATATTTTAGCTAATAAGTGAAAAAACCTATACTCTTATTTACGCTACGTTTCACTTGTACAGAAAAATGTTTAAAAAATATTGAAGAAGTACAATTTTAAAAATGTTCTATTTTCTTTTTGATTATAATTTTAATTAATTGTAAGATGTTTTGGTAAACACACGATCGTATTCTGAGGAAAGTCAGAACTACACTAAGGCACAGACACTGTTTGAGATGCCAAGCTTTTTTGGCACCCATATCTATCCAAAATCAGTTAAAAGACTTTCAATTTACAACGTTATAATGTTTTTTTATACCGGCGGCTAGCTGAAGCCAATTGCTCGCTCTTTTGCCCAGCCAGATAAATGTGCACAAGCGGGAGTTCGGTATGCAACCTATGCGGCGAGAGATTAGCATAGAACTACTTGGACCACGACAGCCGATCAATGCAAGACCCGAAGCGGCAGGTGCAGACAGGGAGAGCGCAGCAGCACTGCCGAACGCTAGAGACATAGAGGGCCTTGAATTCGTGTCCAGCGCGGACAACGCAAACAGCAGCTGATCCGACGCAGGGTCCCAAACTAAACCAAGAGTTTTGGTAATGTCGCTTCCATCATGAAACCGTAGAAATTTCTCCACGTCGTCTTTTGGAATTCCATCAACTTCAACTTGAAGTTACCGCAAGATAGTAGACTTGAAGTTTGGCGCATCTTTTCCATGACATTTGCGTTCGAGCTGCCGCCAGAGAGGAGATCATCAACATAGAACTCCTGTTGCACAGCAGCTGAGCCAAGAGGGTAGGGATTACATTCGTCGATGGCCAGCTGGTGAATTGCGCGGACAGCTTAAAACGATGCAGCCCTCGTACCGTATGTGACGGTGTCTAATGTGTACACCTAGACCTCGGACTGGATGGAATCTCGCCATAGGTGGCGAGATACTTTTACGCAGCGGTACATTTTACAAATGTCACCAGTGAGAGCGACGGGATATGTGCGGAACCGGATCAGTATGTCAAACAATGCAGGCAGAATAACAGGACCTGTCATCATCACAACATTTAACGAGCATCCAGTTGATGTAGCTGCAGAGCCATCGAAAACGACACGGAGTCGTGCCGTGGTACTGTCCTCCTTTAAAACGAAGTGATGAGGCAGAAAATACTTGCAGAGGCTACGTGAGTCAGGATGGACTTCGGACATATGCTTTAAATCAGTATACTCTTTCATAAAAGCTGAGTAACGCTCCTTGAGCGTGGGATTACGATCCAGCTTTCGCTCCAAACTGAGAAATCGTCGATACGCCTGAGTATAGGACTCTCCCAAGTGATCAGCATCATGCTTTAAAGGCAGTCGAACGGAGTACTCCCCTGATGGCAAACGTGAAAGGTGGCTTACGAAATGCGACTCACAATCTACTTCTTCCCTTGTACTCAAACTAGCCTCCACACAATTCTCGACTCCCAAAACATACGAACAGTTCGATCCAACCTTGCATTCATTCTAGCCTCCGAATCCGGAGAATTTTGGGTTGCCAGATGCGACGAGCTAGATACGAGATACGATCCACCCAAGCCGGCACGAGGCAATCCATCTATGAGCTTGATTTGCCCTACGCAGAGAAGGTCATAGAATATGCTCGCGCCAATGAGGAGATCTACTCGCTGAGGATTAAAGAATGCAGAATCGGCAAGCTGAATATTGGATGGAATGTTCCAATCGGCTACATTAACTGCCAGACTTGGTTGGCTATCTGTGATTGTGGGTGCGATGAGAGCAGTGAGTGTGGTCGAATAGTCCGAAGTGCGAGACTGCATGCAAATGCTGAAGGTCGATCCCTCAGTGGACACGCTAGTATCGCCCAGACCAGAAACAAGGGTAGACGATTGAGTTCTCCTAAGCTGAAGCTGCTGGGCGAACCTGGTTGTAACGAGATGCAGCTGGGATGCTAAAGGGGAGATCAATTTGTAAAGATGCTGCACGAGTATATTCCGTGGCCCGCTGAATGGCAGAAAGGGCATCCAGACAGGTCGGCGGAAGAGTTAGAAGCAACAAAAGTTTTCTTTAGATGTGTAGACTGGCTTTTTTCCACCTGAGCGCTACCAGCGTGTGTCGCTATAGCGTACTGCACGTTCTCCATCTTCTGGCATCGCTTCTCCAGGAAGCGATTCTTGAGCCCAAGAATCTCCTTGATGTGTGCCTGGAAAACAAGTCGTTTATTATTAAAACGTTTGCTAAGTATGTCCAGAGCTACACGATAATTGGCACTGGAGAGCTCCAACGATCGAACCGAATCCAGGGCCGCATCCGAGAGACATTAGCAAAGATGTTGGAACTTCTCGATTTCACTGAGATCTGCATCCCCTTCGATTCAACATGAAATAGCCACCGGAGAAGCTAGGTTGCTTCAGCTGAGGAAGCCGCTGCTTGTGAGCCATGATGATGGTATGACCTCCAGAGCTATTTGGCATGCTAGTGGAATGAGCAGCTACCCGTAAATGACCTAGTTCGAGAGCAGACAGCAGCTTGGCTTTCAAAGAAATGAACAGCGCATCGAAGGTTTCACGCAGCTCACTTCCAATCTCGTCTTCATCCAGCGATTCCAACTCATGATGGGACTTGTTGAACTCCTCAAGCATTTCCGCCAACATATCGAGGCGCACATCTATTTTAGACGCACTTAGTTTGTCGAGTTTATTCCCCGAGTGTGGTCGTGCAGCCGATCATGCAGAGACTGAACTTTACGCTTGTAAAGCCTTTTTTCCTCCATCGCAATATTTCCGCCCGCACCTGTATTCGGTTCTTTGTCCATGCCAACCGGTGTGATGCAACGAAAAAACGGAAAATGTAAGACCGCTTAAGCGACGGAGAACAGAACGGGAGCGAGAATAGAAGACACGGAAAGTCAAGGGCCGCGGCTGCCGCGAAGCAGAGCAAGAGAGATTCGGCGATTAAGCAACGGAATATTAGACGGCTGCAGTCTCAGTGAACTTGCACTTTAACTATTCTTATTTGCACAAATGTATTTGTTGGTCGTTAAACCGCACAGCAACGAATATCTTATTCGATTTTTATAGTTTTTAAAGGAAACGCTATTAAAATTTGTAGTTAAATCACGTCGGGGTCACCAATGATTGAGATGCCAAGCTTTTTTGGCACCTATCTCTATCCAAAATCAGTTAAAAGACTTTCAATTTAAAACGTTATAATGTTTATTTATAGCGGCGGCTAGCTGAAGCCAATTGCTCGCTCTTTTGCCCAGCCAGATAAATGTGCACAAGCGGGAGCTCGGTATGCAACCTATGCGGCGAGAGATTAGCATAGAACTACTTGGGCCACGACGGCCGATCAATGCAAGAGCCGAAGCGGCAGGTGCAGAGCGCCCTTTAACAGGGAGAGCGCAGCAGCGAATTTAAAAGTTGGGATGTTATGCATATTCTGAATCTATTCGGAAAGAGTAAGTCGTAACGCCAACTTACGAGGGCGGTCTGACCTAACATAGCCGTGTTGGAAAATGTTCAAAAAAATATTAAAGAGAGGAAGTACGGACTATTAAAAGCTTAAGTGTAAAGTTTGATGTTTTTAGCTTGCGTAGTTTTTTTTTTTAGTAGATGTTAATAGAGAACGCTCTTAATTGATTTGCAAACATGGACAAAATTGACAATCGTTATGCGATTCAATACTTTCATTTGAAAGGTCTTAGCTCAACCAAAATTAAAGCTGGCTGGCTACCTAGGAGATTCTGCTCCTTCGTTTACAACAATAAAATATTGGGTGGCAGAGTTTAAGCGAGAACGTTCGAGCTGCGAAGATGGACATCGTAATGGGCGAAAGCTTAATATCTTTCAGGCGTTAAGCTGCAGATACAAAAGCTCTGGGTCCGATATAGCTGCATTTGTCAGCTTTTCGGAACTGCAAAGTTCTATGCATTCAGATATAAGATACTTAAGTTATGTGAAAAATAGAAGCACTACCTCTGAAAAAAAACATAAACAAAATACCAGCTACATTTAATATTATGATAGACACTTAAATAGCCGCTGGCCCGAACAGACACAATAGGCACAGAGTTATATATTTATATATATATTATTATATTATATATATTTAGATTTTTTCGCGTCTACCTAATCATAGTCTTAGGTAGACGCGAAAAAATCTAATTTGTGTGGACCTGCACTTGTGAGAATATAAATATTTGACCTGACCAGGTATCATACCTCAGATATCGAAAAACTGTCAACAACATTTCATACCAAATGTACAACCCTTTTTCGTTTGCTTTGTTCCCGGTTGGCAGTTGGGCCCGCAACCTTCCAAAAGGTATTTTTTGTTAATTTTTTTCATTTTTTAGGTTTGGTTAACGAATTTTAGCTCCAACGTTTCTTCATAGATTTTAATGAGCCTTAAACATTAAACCTAAGTAATGCAACTACACAAAAAAAATAGAAGACACAGTCTTGAACCGAGCCCCGCGTCTTCAATCTGACCCGTCTTGAATCCAGCTAACTATCCCTTCGTCGTTTAAGGTATCGCTCATTAAAATCTATGGAGAGAATTTGGAGCTAAAATTCGTTAACCAAACCTAAAATATGGAAAAAATGAACAAAAAATACCTTTTGGAAGGTTGCGAGCCCAACTGCCCATTGGGAACACAGGAACGCGATCAGGTACCAAATGTACAACCCTTTTTCGTTTGATTTGTTCCCAATTGGCAGTTGGCGCCAAATTAATGCACTTATACATAACAAAATTGATGACCCAGGATATAATTTTTTTTCTACTTTTCCTGAGTTTTTAAAGTCAAAATTTCGTAAAAAATACCGCACAAAAAAAAACGAAAAAATACTTCAAAAATTCTTCAAAAAAAAGTTCTGCCATAGAAAAAAAAACTATAATTCTTTAAAAAATTTTAAAGCCCCATATCTATCGCAAAAAGTCGGTTTGGATCCTT